ATGTAATGTATGTATATGTATGTGTACACACTTGTTGTTTGTTTATTTATATCATATCTATAGTTGTGTTCATACTTATATATATATATATACACACATTTATGAGATATAGGATGTCGAAGTCCATGTGGGCTTGGTGCGGTCCGCTGGCACCATACATCTCGGAATCAGCGCCACCTCTGCGGTAGCCACAGGACTTTCCGAGGTTCTGTAGGGCCTATGGGGTTTGGGGTCCAGAATCTAGGAGTTTAGTTTAGGTCTTAGGACTTAAATGCAAAGGGACAGTCGCAAGGTGTAGAGTTTTAGTGTTTCGGTTTCGGGGTGTGGTCTCTAGATCTTTCCACGCTTACGTATCGAGCCGCAGCTGCAACAGGATCCTTGGGGGGGGGGGGTCCCCTGTTTCCAGAAGCTGCCATTCAATATGTTTGGAAGGGTTGAGATGTCTGCACATAGAATGCAGAAGCAAAGCATCTTCATGAGCATCTACAGTAGTGCGTGGCCACACGCACACATGCTCACAGTTGACCTGTGTGTACATACTTCTTGTTTGCCGATCGATGTTCGGTAGAGCTCCTTATTGTGCAGTCACGGAATCGTATGCCTGAGCCCTAAACTCCGACAACTTCGGGCGCAGGGCAAGCAACGCACCCCCGCAAGTTTCCCTAAACCCTAAATTTCAACTTTCTAAACCCTAAACCTCCACTTTCTAAACCCTAGACCCAATAGAGAACTCAACGCCCTTGGCTGAAGAGCCGAGTTCGGGGACGTGGTGCGAAGAAGAGTTGAATAATGTAGGAAACCTGAGAAAGCCACACCGGCCCTATACCCCCAAAATAGTAGGGTTTAGGGTTTAGCGTTTATGTTTAGGGTTTAGGGTTTATAGGGTCCAAAAATAGGGGGATCCATCGCAAGAGTGCTAGTAGCCCTACGGTTGATGATATATAAATCCTGCATTACCCATAATCAGGAATATACCCATAATTCCCATAGTTTAGGGCCCTTAAGGTAGTGCAGGGTTTACATCATCAACACCAGTAAAAAAAGACTGAGGGTTGCTGAATCAGGTTCCCCTGTGAAAAACTATAGGGTTCAGGGAAAAGGGTTCAGGGTTCAGGGTTTAAGGTTTAGGGTTGAGGGTTTAGTGTAGTATAGATTCTATAGAGTAGAACCCTATAGTACCCTAAATGGGGCTGGAAGGTTGAGTTTGTTCTGTGATGCTAGCTTATTCGAGCGTGCTGAATCGCAGGATGCGAGTTCTTCAACAACTATGGTTCATGCCGGACGAACTTGCAGCTGCTCTTGGCACATGGGTTTGCCGTGCCAAAGAACAGTGCCGACACGCTGCCGGTGGCTTGGAAAGTCATCAAATATTGTGCGGATGCAAAGAACGGCACCACAAGTAATATCAAGAGACAGTGTATTAACTGCTGAACCTTGGCCATGTGGATGCATCGTCTTGACCACATGTATGACACAGTGCATGGCAACCACAGCAAACGCTACCCGTTAGATCACAAGCCCTTATTTCCCCTGCACCACGTTCAGGTGAAGATTCGCTCCGACGACTCCACAAGACCCGAGCTGCAGCGCAAAGCTTTGGAGCTTGCAGGCAGGCTTAGCATCGAACACCTTCAACATGCCCCAACCCTAAAGTCTTCTCCGGGCAAGTTCGAGTTGTGAGAGCGTAAACTGTGTCTATTGGACCACAGAAGAATATCTTATAATAAGTATTGGCGTCGGTGGCTTTTTATTCGCAGCGCAGCGTCTGTTCTTAGAGAGGGCGCTTTCGAGGTCCTGGGGTTCAATTATGCGCCGAAGCTACCAGTGCCAGGTACCACCCTAATGCCCTGGTGCCCGAAACCCAAAGAACTGGTGACCCTAAACCCAGAGTCCATGGACCCTATAACCCCACCTTAGTCCCATAAACCCTAAATCCTAAACCCTAGTCCATGGACCCTATAACCCCACCGTAGTCCCAGAAGCCTCTTGCCCTAGATCCCCAAAACCAAAGGTCATCCAGCCCTGAACCCTATAACCCTGAAGCCTCTCCAAGACTTGATGATTCCAAGAGAGCTCCAAAATCTCGAGATAAGGACAATAGCTTCAGCTATAACATAGAAGCCCAAAGACTTACCAATACTATTGTGGGGGTTCTTTATTATGATTATAGTATCATGGGCCCCAAAACCCTATTCTAATTATTAAGGCCCCTTTGCTCACAGGGATCCTCCAGCTGGTTTCAAGGTATCGTTTCTTCGGCTTAGGCCACGCGGCCTTTCGGGCCTTTTGGGTCAGGGTTGGCCCTCAAACCCTGAAAGGAATTTTTATCTCATATCTTGCATGAACTCCGGTACAAAAGCCATTATTGCTTTGAATTCGGGGCCTTAGTAAGCACAGAAAAAAGCTCCGGGTTCTATTGAAATGCTTACATCAAATAACGAACCTTGAAAAGATACTATTGCTAGTTGTTGATGCCCCAAAACCCTATTCTAAACAATTACGGCCTCAATATTAGGGTGACTGCTGACGTGCATGCCACCTTGGCAGTGCTGGTCATGTGTGCCTGTGTACGTAGTCTTTTTCCGATGCTCGCAGGCCCAAGCACAGAGCGGCCTTGCGCATGCCTTTTGACAAACACATGTAACATACCCAGAGAGCCCAATACCCCTTAATTAAGGAATATACCGTAAATCATAAGGGGTTCCTATATGGGGTTTCCGAAAATTAGGCTACCTGGTTTTCGGTCCTTATAATATAAGGATCCTACTATTTAGGGTGCAACATTAGGGTCTCCTATTTTCGGAAACCTCCATGTGGCATAGTTGTAGGTGCCACGTCCAATGTAACACCGTAGCGCAGACTTCACTTTCGTTGTTGCCGGTTTGTGTGCGGTAACACCTCCGCCTATTGTGTGACCCATGTCCGGGGCTTCAGATGCGAGGGAATTGATCACTCCACTTTGTATCTTATTCCCAGCCTGCTGGTTCACATCCGCAATAACCCTATTCTAATCATTGCAGCCCCTAAATTATAGCAACCCCATTACCAGGCCCCTGTATTATAGAGCCCTCACAGTAATGTGTTAAAGAGCCCCACGAAGGCGCCTTGTTTCAAGCCTCAACACAGCTACTAGACTGACGATACTTGTTGAAGAAACCCTAAACCCGAAACAACCCAAAAATACGTTCAGCCTCAAACCCTAAACCCTAAAGAAAGCCCTAATGCAGGCCTGTCCTTGCTAAGTGGGAGGGAAAAAAGAAAGCCCTAAACCCTAAACCCTTGAAGTTTCAGGCCTCAACACAGCTGAAGTCCATGAGCTCTCTCTCTCCGATCTGCTCCCGGTGAAGCTGCTGGCACTCCTTCGGATCTTGTGCCAGTTGCCCTCAAGGAGTAAACGGTTTCAGAGTTATTGTAGGGTTTAGGTTTGGAGTTTGAGGCTTTAGATGTAGGCGAGACTGCTGAAGAGTCGCAATTTCTTTGTGGGATGGTTCCCGCGCGCGCAAGTGTGAGGGGGGAGGCTTACAATGTTTTCACTCACGTAATTTTGCTACCACCGACCCTACCCCTAAACTCTAAGCCCTGTTATGAACTACCCTAAACAGCCAAGTGCACCGCTGACCATTTGCGAGTGCGCTCGGCCGAGTTTGGGCTGCCCTCTCAGCGGGGCCTCCGCTTCAGGGGCCCTTCATGCCATTTTCTGAACTTTTCAGCGAGCCAAACTTTCGCGAAATTCAGCTGAAGACAAGCATTGTGCCAGTGGGGGCCAGGTACCGATGCCAGGGTATGTACCCCCCTTTCTTGTGCACTTGAGCTCACAATCATTTGCAAGGCCGGCCCAAACCTCTCAGCGATATGTGGTTAAATTTGAGCGACCCTCACAGGCCACGAAGGGCGGGCGGTTTGTTGGAAACCTTTGCCTGTCGTCGAGCGGCCTGCATGGGCCGCGAGGACCCAAAACCCGACACCAATCCGTTTGCCATGAAGTTTGGTCGAGCTATGGGCCCGAGACCGTATTCGCGCGAGTGTGTGAGTCGAACCCGTCATTGAGAATAATTGGGGCGGTTGAGGCGGGACTACCTGCTAACACAACCACACGTCCAGTGGGCGCGCCCCCCGTTCCTCAAAAAAGCCACCCGCCCTCGCTACCCAAACTCTAAACCCTTAATTATTATAAAACCCCAGAGTGTGGGTTCGACCCCCCGAGGCGGCAGGGAAAAACCTTTTGGAGGCACCTTTTGGTCGCCGGGGCATATGGGGCCTTGAGGGGCAGGGGCCACAAGGCTTTTTGGGTGCGCACCGCAGAAACCCTTCCAGAGACGCTTCAAGGAACCCTTACAGGAGGTGGGTGGTATGTGGGTTGCGAGCGTGATGATAATGCCCGGGCGTGGGCAATCTCAAAACCATTAACATCCGAACGGCTTTGTAAATTTATTGCTTTTGGCTGTTGGTTCACGCGCCTTCCTGAGCATGATCAGGTATGAGCCTGGACTGCTTGGACATGTACTATGTCAAGGAAGGAGCTGCGCTGCTTCAGAAGCTGCAGTCTCCAGTGCCCGTTGAATACTGCGACAGGTGCGAGATGCAGGCGGCCTGGTTTTCCTGCCGGTTTGATGACTGGGGTTTCTAGGAGGGTAAGAGGGGCGCAGGACTTTATCCGAACCATTTGTCTTTCGGCAGGTGGTTTCATTTCGTTCGTAGAAGCCGCAGGGTCCAGGGGCTTGCCGCCCCTTTGAACCTTTCGAAGTGTATGTAAACTCGCGAACGCAAGTTGAATGCCTTCTGGATTATACGTCGATCTATCTCATCGGGGTTTCACAACAGGAGGAGGGACCGCATTCGCGACCCTCCCCAAGCATGGCAGCAGCACTCGTAGTGTCCACACCTCCTTCCATAGCCCCACACGTACATGAAAGACAAGGAATAATCCCTAAACAGATGGCACGCCTTCATGCACGCCTTTGCATGAGGAGCCTGAGCATGGGCTTTTTGAGAGAAGACGAACACCAACACCGACAGCCACCCGAAGCCAGCTAAATTCGAAAAACCTTCAACATGTACCAAACGGGATACATACCTTATGCTATGGGATGTTGGGTTAGGCACCCCCTGTAAGACCTATTTTCAGCCGGCGAAGATCCTCCCCTGTGCCTTCTTGTGACCCTTAAAGTCATGGGAAGCCCCAAGGGGCTTGGCAGGGATTGTGGGGTTTACGGTTTGGGGTTTAGGGTTTAGGTTTTAGGGTTTACGGTTTGGGGTTCCCCATTATGGAGATCATGCCCGGGGATCACGAGCCTAACCATCCCAAACACCTAGCCCGGAATCCGAAACTCACATCCCGAAGTGTACTAAAGGGCCTCCAGTCATATTCCGCCCGAGGGACAAAGTTCAGGGCGGGTTTAAGGTTTAGTGAGTTTAGTGACTCCTTTCAGGGTTCTAAAGGATCCCTTCGACCCTCAGGTTTTCCCTACAAGTGTCGCCTTCAAGGATCCTGGAAAGGGGTCGCTGCTGAAAGGGATCCACAAGGGGTACCCGTGCCTGGAAAGGTGCTGTCCACACTGGAGGGGCAGCTCCTAAACCAGAAGAGACTGGTCTGAAGTTTTTTTTTCTCAGGAGTTCTGTAAATAGGGGCTTTCGTAAGGGTTGCAAAGGCTTTTATGAAGTGGTTTCATAGGGGCGTATGAGTGTTAATTTTGGGGGCCCGAATTATGACTAGACAGAACATCCGCTTATACACTACAGTCTCCAAAAATTCGTACATCCAGTTGATACTGCCTTTGCGTCAGGGTCTGGCTTTGAGGAAGCCAGTGTTCAGAGATTCGGGTGTGGGACTGTTCAGGACTTGGAAGTGAGGGTCAAGAGGTTTAGCAGAAATAACAGAATTAGGGGTTCACAGAGCAGAAGAGCACTAAGAAATAGAAAGTAAACAAGCGGATGTTTGCTCTTGTCTTTGCACCAACATTCAAGCATTGCTTGAGAAGGTAAAGGCCCTTTAGCTTTTCAAACTAACGGGCCTCTCGACCTTCATCCTGTTCCCATCTTCAGCTTTTACGACGTTCGGGCTTTATAGGTTTGGGCCGGCTTCGGGTTACTAGGATGTCAGGATTCTGAAGCGCCGAGCCGAGCAAGTTCCCAAGATGAGGAGCCGCATCCGCCCGGCGGACCTGTCTGCTGCCTCTGCGCCCGAGCGGCACGCTGCCGTGTACCGGGCGGGACAGCTGGAAATCATCTCTGAGGCACGTCCGCGGGCGCCAGGTGTGAATCTGCTATTAGGCCTCATGCCGGCGATACAAGCGACGGCACATACTTAAGCGAAGAACCAATCACTCCTGTTTGGCTTAGTCGTACTTGGGTCTGGGTCTTGCTCTACTGCTTGTGCGAGCGCGAGCTCGATCAGGTGAAGGAGCCGGAGCGGGGGTGGTAAACACTTTTATCGTCGTGGCCATGCACGTTAGCAGGAGTAGTAGTCATTAGTAGTCGTCGTCGTCGTCGTCGTCGTCGTAGCAATAGTAGTCTAGTGGTAGCGGTGGTAGTAGTAGCAGTAGTAGCAGCAGCAGTGGAGGGAAGAAGAGGAGTCGTAGCAGTAGCAGTAGGAGTAGCAGCGGCAGTAGCAGCAGTAGTCGTCGTCGTGGTCGCAGTCGTACTGGTGGTGTGGTAGTGTGGTAGTGTGGTAGTGGTAGCAGTAGCCGCGGAAACCGTTGGTGCAGCAGCCAGCAAAGCCACCACCGCCACTCCAGCTGTTGGTTGTTGGAGTCGCAACCCAACTTTGCGCTTCAATACTCCTCAACATGCCAAGCTGCATCGGCAACTCCACCTAGAACCGCTGAAGAGAAGCCTCGCCTCCTCAGCGCAGAAGCCTATTATAAGCCTGAAGCTTCACCCAAATCTGCGTGCAGGCGCTCAAGGAGATCCAGCGAAGGCGCAAGCACTTCTGTGGAGAGAACGGGCTGCTGGAGGCGCTTGTCGTGATGCCCCTTGTGCTCCTTAATTTGCTAGTAGGCTGCAGGGTGGCCCTGAACTCCAATCGACCCCGAAGCCGGATAGGGCCTTTGGCCCTGATTCTGCTATCCGATTCCTGAAACCCTAAACCGTAAACTCCTTAACCCTTAAACCCTAACCCCTAACCCCAAACCGCTCCAGGAAAGCGAAGAAGAGGAGGGAGCGGAGGTGGACCCGGAAGAGGAGGCCGTGGAGAAGCAGAGTAGCAATTATCCCCCCACGATTTATCGTTTGAGAAGAACAAGACACACAGAAGGTTTTTATGTTTGAGAGTTCTATGTATATTTCTTTCAGATTATGTGGCGGTCTAATACCATGGCCCCGAGAGAATAAAGGGCTCTTGGAGTTCCCCGGGCTTTCGACTGGAGTTTGTTTGTCCTTTCAGTGCCTGGAGTAGTCTTCGGGCCACTGAAGCCACCATGAGAGCTCTGAACACCGAGTGCTACGCGGCGAGCCATTGCCGCGATCTCATGTGACAATCCGCTACTCAGATAGCCTGCAGCATATGGTTAGTTCTTCAAATATATTGAAAGTAGGGTCCCGTTTGGGGTCCTTTGCTTTTTGATGCGGCACGAGGTGAGTTTGGGGGACCTGAAAAGGGAGCCCTACTTACAGAGAGCTACCCATATCGCGGTCACAACCCATATCCCTAAATGGCCCAACCCTAAACCCTAAACCCTAAACGGCCCTAAATCCTAAACCCATATCCCTAAATGGCCCTAAATCCTAAATCCTATAAACCCTAAACCCTAAACCCATAACCCCTATCCCTAAAGCCTGGGTTCTCCGCACTTCTGATCTCTTCCCTTCAGGAGCCGGAGGAGGAGGAAGGATGGCCCAGGCCCGCGGGGGTGAAGCGCCCTCGGATTCTCTGAGCACCGGGCCTGGGGCGGAGAGAAAAAACGTGTGTCGAATGTAAGGCGATGGGATGGGTTTAGGGTTTAGGGTTTAGGGTTTAGGGTGCCTGGGGAGAGAAAAAACGTGTGTCGAATGTAACCCTAACCTTTTCAGGTACCTACTATAATAGGGTACTATAGAGCCCCTAGGGCCCTTTTGTAGTAGGTACCCGGGAGGTTAGGGTAAGGTGATGGGAGGGAGGGACTTAGTTTCTTGGCTTCGGATTTAGAGCCTTTATAGAGCCTATACTGTACTGGTTACCTACTGTCCCCTTTGGAGAGTGTACAATAGAAGCCTGGTGAGCCCATTTCCAACTTCCAAAAGCCAGGCCTGGACTGAACAGCTTTCTGCGGGCTTTCTGTTCCGAACTGTCTCATGCCAAGGTACGGCGTGGAGTACGCAATGTGGTGCTACGTGAAGCGGTTGAAGGTTCTTCGGGACGGAATGTTGGTGTCCCTTTGCTGCAGCTGCTCAAGCTTTCCTAGCTGCTTTGTGAAGTCGGCTTCGTGACGTCTTGGGAAACAAGGCAACTTCTGCCATGGGGAAACGGATTCCATGTTCTAGGAGATTGCCCCGGAGGAACCCGCTCAGAAGGTCTCACATCACCCCGACCCTATACTGGATAAGACAGGGCCTGAATTGCCTACTTATGCACGGTTTTGCGCTGGCCTTTTGCCCGAACATCGAGCGAGCGAGAGAGAGAGAGAGTAGTCGGTAACTGTTACTGCTCCAGGCTCCCCATCCGATCTTGCTTACAGAGTGTGAACACCCTCCATCGCCTGGCTAGCACCGTAAAACCACGCTTGCCCTTAGATTGATGTAGAAACTCGATTAAGGCACCCCGAGCCCCGAGCTCTTGTGAGTGTTCTTAGTATGCATCCCATCCTTGGGAACCTTGCAGGATCCGGCGACTGAGCAAGCNNCCCCCCCCCCAACAAAAAAAAACAACGAAGAAGCACAAAACCCAAACCCGGCCCTAATCCTCATCAGGATCGACCTCTTCATCATCGTCTGCGGCCTCGCAGCTTGCTCCGGAGTTGGACGTCTGGTGCTTCCTGCTGGGCCTTAGGAAGTAGCTAGGAGCCGGGGTCTAATGTAGGGGGTGTAGGGTTCTGGATTTATGCTTAGGAATACGTAGGAGTCGGGGTTTAATTTGGGGTTCGGTCTCTACTTCAGGGTTCAGGCTCAGTGACGTCTGCATCAAGGACCTTAGCCGTAGTGTCTTGCAAACAAGCCAAGTCAAAGGGACACATCTCCCGAAGGAGTGTGTAGTTTTGTGGCTCGTTCTGTTCTCCTTTCATTGTCCGTAGTTGTTGCTGGCGCTCTCTCTTTCTCTCTCTGGCTCTCT